TTTTCGACAGAAAAAATAGTGTTATTCATATAAATTTAGAATTTTATCAGAGCACAGATTTAAAAATAAAAGAGAATGTAGGATATCACGAGTTTTAATTATTCCGCATGTTTAATTAATATTTTCACTTGCTAGATATGTATTCATGCAAAGAATTGTCGGTAAAAATAAAACAATTAGAGAGCACGCTCATAGGGAGTCGAAGTTACTAAATATATCGTTCGTTATCATTCTAAAGTATTGGATCAACAATTCTCTCAACATATAATATTTATAACTGGAATACAAGACAATAAATCTGACGAGGGAACGTTTTCAAGTGTCTCCCCGTCGCCAGATCTGAGTGCATATCGTATAAATTTTCAAGAAAGCGACACACACTCGAATCCTCTTAGAATTTTTAGAACGGCATAATTCGATCATAATCTGACGGGGAGGGAGGCATCTAAAACGGCCGCCTCGTTAGTTTAAATTTTATAACTACTATTTATACATGTATTACGAATTATTTGTTATTTACGATAATAATATTTTATTTTAAGATAAGTTTACAACATATAAAATACAAGAGATGTTCAAAATATTAAAATCAAATGTTAATTCTGTGTTTTCATTTCAAATGCAGTTCTTCCATATGTAATTGTTGGAAGTGGATTTATTTGGTTTTGTTTTCGCCAAAAACATATTCGATCTTTTGTTGCTTTACGAAAACGACTTGATGATATCCAAAACATATAACAACTTCCCTAAAAATAAATAATTTCATAGATTCATTTATTTCATTCTCGAAAAAAAAACTTCAATCAACATACAGTAAAGTAGCCATAGGTTAATAAAGTGAGGACTGTACTAATAAAATATTCCAGTTGTAATCGATCTGCACCTTTACTAACTCCAGAAGTGACCAGGCTGTAAAGATTATTTATTCCATAAGGTACTATGCACACAATATTAAGTAATACTTGAAATAAAGTCATTCTCATTAACTGACGATCAGCATCTTGTCTATTAAGATTTCTTGTCATATGAATATTACGATAAGCTAAATATCCGAAAAAAACCATTAATATAACTGGAATACTTGTAACTAGGCCAAGAAGATATATTGTAGTATAAATACCATAGATAGCATTTGTGTTTCCACATGTTTGTGTAATAGGGGATATCTCATAGAATATAAATATAGGTATCGCATGAAGACACCAAATTATAATAAAAATGAGAACAATTCTATGGGCCCATTTTATATTACTGCAACGACGAATTTTTACATGTTTCGACGTAATAAAAAATTGATCCATTGTAGCCAAGCATGAACAAGTTAAATTGATTAATGTAGGAGTAGTTAGGAAAAAAGGTCGCATTTTACACCAAACAGTTGATGTACGAGTTAAATCAGTTCCATCGCCTGTGGCAACAATACGTGATATAAGATTAATGACTATATAAAGAATATTATCTATTGAACCAACAAGAAAATAAAATGTCGAAGGATTTGTACGATAAGAGCGAATAGTTGAAAATATCAAGACATTCATACCATTACCAAACATACCGACAAAAATAAGAAATATACCACCATAAAATGTAAGTTGTTGACTAATATCTGATAATGACATTAGTAATTCTTTTCACTTTAAATAACGTTAAATTAATTTATAAACATTAACTTCTATACTATGGTATATAGAATTTTTTCTGAAAAAGATACACAATGAAAATATAGCGTTTTAATAAAATAATGAAGCTTTGAACTACGTTTTTCCTGTCTATATTATTCAGCTGTTGCTTCTCTTTCATTATAATAATTGTAGATAAAATAAAATTATTTCAGTGTCATGACAATACTGTAATAAAAATACCTATAAAAAATCAACCGACATATAGCATTACAATCGGCTGTCTTTGAACTAATTTTACAGAATAAATTAATTATAATAAAAAACGCACGAAGAAATGAATACGTAATATTGCGAAGAAAAAAACTTAAAAATAGAAATTAATTACTAGTTTTCATTCTATTCAATCAACTATGTTTTGGATCAAATCACTTATATTTATATACAAATGATGAAGGAAAGCGAATTTTATACTTTTAGAATTTTTGGGAATCTTAATTGTACTCTGAAGATTTTTATCAGATTCTTGGAATCTTAAAAATCCACTTTTTTCTTCTAAGGTGTTTTTTTGCATCATCAATTTAATACTTATTCTATTATGTATGAGATATTATTTCATCAATCCTAAATGCAGTATGCCGTTCATTCTGAAAAGAGATATAATTTTTGTTATATAAACAATCTCTGAAAAATAGCAAAGAAAATTATATACTAGACTTCTACTTAGCTATAACCCTTCTCAATAATCTGCTCATTAGCTAATTGACCTCCAGCACTATTTAAATATAAACAGTACTATTTAATATATCTCCTTGGCTATCTAAAGACTCGTCAGCTATTTATTTATTAGTACATTATTTTGTTGACGAACTGTTTAATCTCTAACACTAATTAAATATATACAGCATTATTTAATATATCCCCTTAGCTATTGAAAGACTTGTTAGCTATTTATTTATTACGACTTTATTTTCTTCACTATCTATTTAAATTCTCCATCTATATTTAAATATATACTGCACAATGGCGGATCTAGGATTTTGGATGGGAACGGGCAATACCTGAGTCGGGGTGACGGTGATTTCGGCTAAAAACTATTTCTTGAGTCCAGTCGAAGTAGTGTGAATCTATTTTTTCCTTCATTTTTGTTGTAAAAAGCCAAAAACAAATTCTCAAAGGGCTCAGGCGCGATCGCCCTCATTGCCTCTTAAATCCGCCACTGGCTGAATTTATAATCCTAAAATATTAGAAAACATTCTATCCGATAAAATAGGAAACTAAAAGTAAAGTGATGAATTTATAATCCTAAAAAATTAAAGGAAATCCCCTAGGTTAAAGAAGAATAGGGAAAATGAAGTGAAGAATTTTATATCATAAAAAAATTATTGAAAATTTGTCATTTTTTATTGCAAATAAAAAATTAATGTTAAGGATATTAAATCTAAAAGAAATCCAATAAAATTCGTTAAGATAAAACATGAAAGAAATATGACGTCGAGTAACAGCATCCAAGGGAATTTCGAGTGTGTTGTGTTTTCGCAAGATAATAAAAAGGTAAATAAAAAAGAATGTATGTTAATGAGAAATCTAAGCTACTTATTCTCAAATAAATGAAAAAGTTAAAAGAGATTAAGGAAGTTAAAATCATAGAAGTAGTAAATAGATTTGCACCAGAGGAAAAGGTGGTTATCATTTCCTTTTACATGTTGAAAAAATGGGAAGAATGTTTGAGGATGAAACTATTAAATGCTATTTTAACGCAGATAGATGTTGTTGTAGAGAGGCGAGAAAGTTTGTCTTGTATGTGCACAAGATAACTTTTAATTAATGACTTGATTCAAAGATGGGTTTATATATTCATTATGTTTGATATTTTCTTGTTCATTCTCAATTTGTTAGAACTTATACATAGTCATACATAATTTTATCAAATTAAACTGACTGAGTGACATAAAACTTTGAGAATCTCGCACATATGAATTCAACTACACAATAAATCTATTTCCACATCATGCAATGATATCAATAGTTGAGAAATTTTTATGTACAGTGTTAAAATTTGCTTTTATATCATAGAAGATATCTTATGGCTTTCTTACTTGTGAAATATCTCCCGGATCTCTCTCAATGGAAGCGTTCGTCAATATAATAGAAGTAACGCTCATCCGAGGACTCGCTTAGCTCTTTCTCGTAGAAATATATCCTCTTCACATTTACTGAAAAAAATAATTAAAAGCCGTGAAAAATCGGTCTTTGATGTTTTTTTGACCTCTCCTTCTCTTCACCACCGCCTCGCCGTGGTCATTTTTGATAGATCCCTCGATTCTTAAAATATCCTGAAAGTTTCAGTCAAACCGAATGCCCCTTTCTAGAGATACGCTTTTTTCAAAAAACTAAAAATAATTTCAAGAGAGCAATGCGCACTCAAATCCTCTTAGAGTTTTTAGTACGGCATAATTTGATTGAAATCCGACGGCGAGGGGGATAATTGAAAAGGCCGTCTCGTTAGTATGAACTTTATAACTACTACTTATACATGTGTTACGAGTTGTTTGCTGGCTAGAATAATAATAGTTTATTTTAAAATATGTTTACAACAGATAAAATGTGAGAGTTGTTCAAAGTATTAAAATCAAATGTTAATTCTGTGTTTTCATTTCAAATACAGTTCTTCCATGTGTCACTGATTGAAGTGGATTTATTTGGTTTTGTCTTCGCCAAAAACATATTCGATCTTTTATTGCTTTACGAAAACGACTTGATGATATCCAAAACATATAACAACTTCCCTAAAAATAAATAATTTCATAGATTCATTTATCTCATTCTCGAAAAAAAAACTTTAACCAACATACAGTAAAGTAGCCATAGGATAATAGAGCGAGAATTGTACTAATAAAATATTCCAATTGTAATCGATCTGCACTTTTATTAACTCCAGATGTGATGAGGTTGTAAACATAATTTATTCCGTAGGGTACTAAGCACACAACATCAAATAATACTTGAAATAAAGTCATTCTCATTAATTGACGATCAGCATCTTGTCTATTAAGATTTCTTGTCATATGAATATT